CTGTCGGCGTGCAGCATCGGGAAACGGGAACGGGCCTCGAGTGACCGGGAATCACCCGGGGAACCCGTCCAACCCACGCAGCCAGTAGGAGGAACCCTCCACCAACACCAGGGACGGATTCGCGCCACCATCACCATGGAAGGACGAGAATTCGTGGCCACCCTGGACACCGGAGCTACGCATAGCTTCATCAGCGAGGACCTAGCCCGAGAGCTAGGCAACGCGGACAACACGCGAGATATTCGCACACAAGTCAAGTTGGCCGACGGGACATGCCGGGACCTGACCCGGGCCCTCGCCGCCAATATACACCTGGGGAGCAAACGCGCTCCAACCGTCCTGCTAGTGATGAGCGAAGTCCTTGACGACGTTCTCCTAGGCATGGACTTTCTTTGCAGGATCGGAGCCACCATGCAGTGCGGGGGACAGACCCTCAGCCTGATGCCAGACCAGTACACGGAGCCACCATGGGCTCAAGAACGAGCCAACGCAAGACGCCGGAGGGAAGAGCCACGCTCTGTCCGCTTCGAGGAGCCACGCTCTGTCCACTTTGAGGAGCCACACTCCAACCCTCACGGAGGGCCACACCCTACGCCGCAGCCGAGAGAGCCACGCTCTCAACCCCGAAGCCCGCCGGCCGAGTCACACTCTGCCCGCCGGGAACCAGCGACGACGGAGCCACGCTCCAGCAACACAGAACCAGCAACGGCCAGAGAACCACCGCAACCGGCGCCACGCGCCCGCCCCTCGGGGCACAGCCCTCGAAACCAACCGGGAGACCGCCAGCACCACGCCTGCCGGAGAGGAGAGCACATCCTCCCGGAGGTCGGCAGTCATCTCGGGCACAGACCCGTCCACGACGGGAAACCAGCCGCCAAGTTGGAGCCACGTCTTGCCTGTGGCGGATGCCACCGCCGCGCAGCGAAATCCATTTCGCACCTCCAAGAAGCGTGTCCGTTTCCAGGACCACGTCGAGGAAACGCCGGCGCAAGACTCGCCTCTCTGCGGAAACATTAACTCGGTGAGTCACCCCGCTGGGGATCCAGATTCAGCCGAGGCGGAAGAGCTCGAGACCCACAGCTACCCAGAGCCCTGGGTAGAGGAATTCCTGGAGAAGGAGTTGGCCTTGTTCGAGAATCTTTCAGGGGTGTCCCACATAGCGGAACACCACATCATCATGCGCAGCGATCGGCCACTGAAGCAGAGATACTTCCCGAGGAACCCGGCCATGAGGGCCATCATCGACAAACAGATCGACGAGCTTCTTCGAGACGGGCGGATCGAGCCCTCGAAGAGTCCGCACAGCGCGCCCATTGTGATTGCGGCGAAGAAAAACGGAGACGTACGCATGTGTGTTGACTACCGTCAACTCAACGAAAACTCGGTTCCCGATGCCTACCCGCTCCCGAGGATTCACCAGATTCTGGAACGCCTCCGGAACGCCAAGTTCATCTCGACGCTGGACTTGAAGAATGGATACTGGCAGATACCAGTAGCCCCGGGCAGCCGAGAGTGTACGGCTTTCACCGTTCCCGGCAGAGGATTATTCCACTGGCGGGTGATGCCGTTCGGTCTTCATTCCGCCCCTGCAACGTTCCAGCGCGCTTTGGATACAGTCATCGGGCCTGACATGGAGCCGCACGCATTCGCCTACCTGGACGATATCATCGTCATAGGCTCAACGCTGGAGGAACACGTCGCCAACCTTCAAGAGGTCTTCCGACGCCTGCGCAATGCGAACTTGCGCCTGAATCGAGGGAAGTGCCACTTCTTCCAACGCCACATCGTCTACCTGGGACATGTGATCAGCGAGGCGGGCATCCATACAGATCCGGACAAAGTTGCCGCGATCCGCGAGCTGAAGCCACCAACTTGCCTAAAGGAGCTCCGGAGGTGCCTTGGGATTTCATCCTGGTATCGCCGCTTTGTTCCAAACTTCGCCGACGTGGTCGAACCCATGACCGCGTTGCTGAAGAAAGGCCAAAAGTGGGAGTGGACATCGAGGCAGGATCACGCTTTTCAGGAGCTGAAGGCGCTACTAACGAAGGCACCGGTCTTGGCCTGTCCGGATTTCGGCCAGAAGTTTGTTCTACAGACGGATGCCAGCGAGTACGGAATAGGAGCCGTATTGACGCAGACCATCGAGGGACAGGAAAGAGTTGTCGCTTACGCCAGCCGCCGGCTCAACCCGGCCGAGAGGAACTACTCCGTTACGGAGAAGGAGTGCCTCGCCATCGTCTGGGCAATCAGGAAGATGCGATGCTACCTCGAGGGGTACCGTTTCGACGTGGTGACGGATCATCACTCGCTGAAATGGCTGAATTCGATCGATAACCCGACGGGCAGGATTGCACGCTGGGCTCTCGAGTTGCAGCAGTACCAGTATGACGTCCATTACCGGAAAGGGGCCCAAAATCTTGTGGCCGACGCCCTTTCTCGCCAACCGCTGCCTACCGCGCAGCAAGCACAGGTACAAGGAGTCAACTGCCGCTGGATCAAGAAGATGCTTCAGAAGATGCGGACAGAACCCGCCAAGTTCCCCGACTACAGGGAGGAGAACGGACAACTCTATCGCCGCATTGGTCTTCAGCCAGAAGAGGAGGAGTACACGCCATGGAAGCTGTGCGTTGGGTCGGATTACCGCCAACGCGTCCTCGAGGAATGCCATGACCACCCAACCGCCGGACACTTGGGAATCCGGAAAACTAGTAATCGCGTGGCTCAGCGATACTATTGGCCGGGTTTGTTTCGCGACGTCGCGCGCTATGTTCGTCACTGTACGAGTTGCCAGAGGTTCAAGGTAAGCCAGGAGAAACCTGCGGGGATGATGTTCACCCGCCAGGTCGACGAGCCATTCCAGGTTCTCTGCGCGGACTTCGTTGGACCGCTTCCACGATCAAAGCAAGGCAACACCATGCTGTTGGTGTTTCTGGATGCCTTCAGCAAGTGGGTGGAGTTGGTGCCACTGCGGAAAGCCACTGGAGCACAGCTTGAACGCGCCTTCCGGGAACGGATCCTGAGCAGATTCGGAGTGCCGAGGACCTTCGTCTGCGACAACGGCACGCAGTTCACAGGGCGATCTTTCCAGAACTTCTGCAAATCGCTGGGCATGGAGCTGCAGCACACGGCGCCGTATACGCCAAGGCAGAACCCGACGGAGAGAGCCAACAGGACGATCAAGACGATGATCGCCCAGTACCTGGATGGAGGCCCGCAGAATACATGGGACCAGTTGTTGCCGGAAATCTCCCTGGCCATCAACAGCAGTGTCTCCGACACAACAGGATTTAGCCCAGCTTTCCTGACGCAAGGGCGAGAACCGAGGCTGCCACGGACTCTTTACGACGAGCTCACACCAGGACGAGGCACCCCAGAGGTGGCCCCAACGGACCGAAGCCAGCAGCTGAAGGACATCTTCCGAGTGGTGCGAGACAACGCTGAACGCGCTACGGCGGATCAGGGCCGACACTACAATCTGCGCCGACGGACTTGGAAGCCGCCGGTAGGATCTCTAGTGCTGGTGAGACGCCACGCACTCTCCAACGCTGCCGAAGGATTCGCCGCCAAACTGGCCGCGAGATACGAGGGACCCTTTCGAGTGGCGAAGTTCCCTTCACCAAACATCGTCCAGCTACACGTACCCGGCAGCCGCCGACGTCGTACTGCGAGTTTGGGGCAGCTGAAACCCTACCGACAGGGAGAAGCAGATGACCACGCCGAAGGCGCGATCGATGACAGCGACTACGAGGAAGACCACGCCGAGGACACGCAGAACCCAAAGCAGTCAGACGCCGCCGACACGAGCCCTGACTGCCCCACTCCACGCCGCCGCCACTAAGCCACGCCCCACTCCACGCCGCCGCCACTATGCCACGCCCAGATCGAAAGATGGCCATGTTCAGAGGGGCCACTTGCTGACAGGCGCGCCTGTCCAACGCTCCTACCCCCTAGGGGGAAACATGCGCCCTCTCTTTCGCAAAACTTAGAAATCGAGCAACTCTCGGTTGGGTAGGGTCCTTCGAAAGCGCCCCCCTAACAACGCCGTCTCTTTTGCTCTTTTCTCTCCACAGACACATCGATCATCACGCAGCACGAACGCACACGGTGCAAACAGCAAAACAACAACAGAGACGCGACCCACCGCCCACAGGCAACCGCCAGCGAATACACGCACGCACCCTCGAGGATCCAGCGCACGGCAGCGCTGATCACACGCGCTTCGCACCCCGCCCACGATCCCGAGCACGGCCGCATCGCCACCACCCGGACCAACGATCTCGCCAAGCAAGTGTCACGATGTCATCACCCAGGGACGACGCCTGGATGGGGCTCGCCCTTGAGGAGCTGCTAGATGGCCTCCAGATGGGGCATCGGCCCCAACCTTCAGTCCTCGCGCCACTCAGTGTGGCCGGAATCCGCAGACGGATCCCGTCCGCGGAGCAGGTGGACGTCCCGCCGGATCACCGCTTCGGCCCAATACGGGTGGACACCACCCCGCCACGACCACGGCCAGCCGAGGCCACCCGCGCGCCTGCCGACCAGGGCAAGCAGCCAGACACGGACCAGGGGCCGCCGCCGTTGGTCCCGCTACACCCCACCCGGAAGCAGACCACAGAAGGGAGGCCATCACCACGGGCAGCGCCACAGACAGCCGGCCCGTCGACGCGTCCGCACACTGGCCAGTTGCCCACGACGCCCACCGGCAACAAGGGGCAGCCACCACGGGCAGCGCCTCGAGCAGCCGCCCCGTCGACGCGCCCGCACACCGGCCGGGCCACCACAACAACGCTACCGGCCACATCACCCCATCACCACGGGCGACGCCGCGAGTTGCCCTCACTGCGGCACGCGCACGCACCGGCCCGACCCCTACAGCGCCTGGGACACACACAGTCCAGGCTAGCCCCTGGCAGGCTGCAGCGGACGCCAGATCAGACGACGAGGTGGAAGCGGCGCTACGAGAGTGCCTAGGCGACCTTCCACCCGACGTGCTGGAGGAGATGGCCCAGGGGGCAGAGGGATTGGACCTGGAGGACCTCTTCGGAGAGTCTCCCGACGAGGACGGGGTAGAGCTCCCAATGCGCCCCGTCTCCAACCAATCCGCCGACGAGCCAAGGACCCCGTCACCGCAATTCCAGCCGGATTATGAGGAGATCTCCAGCGACGAGGGAGTGGAGGCCGAGATCATCCAGATCTCAGACTCCGACGACGCCGAGCCAGGCTTCAGACCGCCGGGCACCCCGCCGCCGGCGTACGAGGATATTTTCGGGCCGGGCCCATATGCCACCAGCTGCCCGATACCCACTTGCGCGGCCTCAACGCCGAGCCAGTCACCGCCGACCACGTCACGCGGGTACCACGCCGCCGCCGCTCCACGCCGGGCAGATGGCCCAGCGACAAGCCGACTCGTCGACCTGACGACCGACGAGGACTCCGCCAACGAGGACTCCGCCAACGAGAGACCAGCCGTGGCCGTCCCGACTCGCCCCCCGCTACCCACACCCGGCGAATACGCCGCGGCAGTGGCCCGACGCAGGGCCGAGGAGCTGAGTGACGAGCTGGGCTCGTCTTCCGCCGGGCCGGTTCAGCCAACAGACCCGGAGCCACGTTCGGCCAGGGATCGGCCACCCACACCAGCACCAGCACGCCGAGGCCGCCGACGGAGCGCGCCCTGGGCGGATAGTCCCAGCGGATCCTCGTCCGAGGAGGAGTTACCACACGATCGCCAGGGTCACGCCCGCTGGCTACCAGTTCCCGACGGCTGGAGCACGCCCAACGGCACGCTACCCGCCGGGCTCATCCGGAGGATCCAGCAGCGACTCCTAATCGCCAGACGGAGGGCCCGGCGCTACCTAGAGGAGGAGCAGGGCCAACGATTCCGGGTGCAGTTAAACAGAGACGACCACGTACGGGTCTTCCTATACCCCACCCGGAAGTGAGGAGGGGGTGTGACGACACGATCGGTCGCCACAAAACTATATATATGTATATATGTAAAATCTAAGCTTATAATTACTTATTCCTACGATACCTAAAATTAAGACTAAAATTAAGACTAAAAATTAAGCACTCGCACACACACACACCACCCGGCACGAAGCCATACACACGCACACACACACACCACCCGGCACGAAGCCATACACACGCACACACACACACACACACACATCACCCGGCACGAAGCCAACGGCATGAAGCCAAATAAACCCCGCGAAGGGAAATTCAAAACAAGCACTAGGCTTTAAAGTTACGCGCGCAAGTGGCAACGCTGTCGGCGATAGTGGCAGAGCCCGGCAACGCCAAGATCGATCGCGGCAGCGCTGCCGGCAGAAACTAGGTCACGGCCACACTCAGGAATTAGGTCAATTTTAATCCTCGCCTAATTCTTAACCGCGCAAGTCGTGCCGCTCCGGCAGTGAAAAAGTTTAAGTGCCAAAACCGCGTGTTCGTGTCAAGGAAACATCCTGCAGGACCTTCGAAGGACATCCGCTTCGAATCGTGGGTGAGCATGGCCGCCGGCCATTAAAATATATTGGGGATTTACCCCGCCCCTTGCCACCAGTAACTTATTTTTCCCAAAAAAAAATACCTAATTAGAAAACCATGTGCTTGCATCAAATTGTGCGTTTTCCCTGCCTTCGTTTGCGGGCCGGCGCCCCTCGCCGGCAGTGACCAATTCCCCTCCCGCTTTCCCCGTAGCATCGGAGTAATTCCGGGTGCGGGCGAAAGCCGGACGGGAACAGGAGCCCGTGGCTGCTGGATCTTTCCGAGCCCGGACTTGCCGCGAGGCCGCCGGTCCCCCTTTTCCCCTTGCCCCTCAGAGAGCCATCCCGCTGCTGGATTTTTCCGGGCGAGGATCTGGGGTTGGTCGCTGGATTTTTCCGAACCAACTGTCCCGCTGCTGGATTCCTCCGAGCGTGGACGCAGGCATCGGCTGCTGGATCTCTCCGAGCCTTTGTCCTGTCCCAACGGACGCCGCGGTGCTGGATCCTTCCGAGCGTGGGCGTGGGCGTGGTTGCTGGATCATTCCGAGCCCTCTGAGCAATCCTGCCGCTGGATTCTTCCGGGCGAGGATTCGGGGCTGACTGCTGGATTTTTCTCCGAGTCAGTGGTCCCGCTGCTGGATTCCTCCGAGCGTGGACACAGGCCTTGGCTGCTGGATCCCTCCGAGCCTTTGTCCTGCCCCGAAGGCGCCCCGCTGCTGGATCACTCCGAGCGTGGGCGTGGGCGTGGCCGCTGGATAACTCCGGGCCGCTCGTCTCGCCGCTGGATAATTCCGGGCGCTGACGCGGGCTTGACCGCTGGATTATTCCGGGTCGCCTGGTTTTCCCTGGCCAAATAATCCCGTACGAATATTTTCTTCCCCATTTTCCCCGCTAGCTGGCCATAAAATTATCGGCGCTTCTCCGTTCTGGGTGTCTCACAAATTATAAATTTTGTGAGGGGACTCTGGGCCGCTGAGGATCACCCCGGCCGCCCAGACGCTTCCTTACACCAAGGTCAGGGGCAGTAGAGACAGACAAGCACCCACTAAGCTGACAAATGTCAGAGACGGTAAAATAAAAGAAAGGAAAACTAAAATAAGGGCAGTAGCCAGAAGGCAGATACATGTGTATAAATGTTGATCAATGTTGGTCAATGTATGTACATATAAATGTTAAAGGAACTGATTAAGTGAAAGAAATTTAAAATTTATTTCAGATGAACGCGGAATTCATTAAACCATTCTTGTGCGAAAGCATTGACAAAGCACTGCTTTGTAACGAGTGGGAGAAATGGTTGAGAGCATTCCACATCTACGTAGAATCAGAGGAGATTACTGCGGCCAAGAAAAAGAGGACGAAACTACTCCATCTAGGTGGAACGCAACTACAAGCAGTAGCGTTTTCACTACCCGACGCTTTGGTCGAATTCAACGAAGTTGAACAAAACGATGTATTCCAGGTATTGGTAGACAAGTTAACAGCGTTTTTCTCCCCAAAGAAAAACTCGTCCTTCGAAAGGCATATGTTCAGGAGTTTGACTCCATCTGATGACGAGAGCTTTGCAAAATTTGTACTGCGTCTTAGACAACAAATTAAGAAGTGCGAGTTTGGATCAACCAAAGCTGAGATGGAAGAAATTTGCCTTAAAGACAAAGTAATCGATACATGGGCGTCGGGCGACCTAAAAAGAAAACTATTCGAGAAAGAACACTCATTGGATGAAGTAATTCAGGCTTGTCAAATTGACGAGGAAATAAAGAAGAAATCTGCGATGATGGCAAGGAATACAGCGGAGCCGGCAAATAAAGTCTCGACAAGTAAACCACAACGAAATTCCGAATGCGGGAGATGTGGACGTGTTGACCACGAAGATGACTGCTCAACTTGTCCAGCTCGACAGTCGAAATGTAATCGTTGCGGTCGCCTTGGCCATTTTGGGCGTAAATGTAGAACGAAGTTAAAAAGGGGACATTTTCAACCGAGATCGAGAAGCCAAGACGAAACATTTTCCTCCGCTAAAAGGTCAAAGACGGAGAATTGTTTCAAAATCAATTGCGAAGATCAAGAAGAATGGATTAAATGCCGGATTGGTGGGGCAGACATATCTATGATTATTGATTCTGGTTCTCGCTATAATCTCATCTGTCAAGACGACTGGGTCATCCTAAAAAGGAACGAAGCCACAATTTTCAACGTTCGCCCAAACTCACAGAACCAGTTCAAAGGTTATGCTTCAGACGTATTTGCGTATTTGAGGCACCAATTTCTGTTGGAAAACAAGCGGAAATGATTGCCTCCTTTTTCGTCATTGAAAAAGGGAAGCAGTCATTGCTGGGAAGAGAAACGGCCATTAAGTTGAATGTACTACGGCTGGGACTGCAGGTGAACCATATCCAGGAGGTATCAGTTTTTCCGAAGTGGAAGGGGGACAGAGTCAAATTGGCAATAAATCATAACATAAAGCCAGTACAACAACCCATGCGAAGGATACCAGTCTCGCTGGAAGACAAGGTTCGCGATAAAATCCAGGATGCACTGAAGCGAGATATCATTGAACCTGTAAATGGACCCAGTGCCTGGATTTCGCCAATGGTTCTGGTTTTTAAAGAGAATAGGGACATCCGATTATGCCTGGATATGCGGCGAGCAAACCAAGCCATTCTGAGGGAAAATTATCCTTTGCCGACATTTGAAGCGTTCATGACTCAACTTAAAGATGCTAGATATTTCTCAAGGCTGGACCTCAAGGATGCATACCACCAACTCGAGTTAGACGAGGAAAGTCGAGAAATAACAACGTTTATAACTCCGTTAGGACTATTTCGTTATAAGCGATTGATGTTTGGAGTCAACTCGGCGCCAGAGATTTTCCAGAGGAGACTTGAGCAAGTACTGTCAGCAGCCACGAATGTCCTAAATTACATCGATGACATTTTCGTTTTTGGAAAAACTGAGGATGAGCATGATGCGCCATTGGAAAGAGTTTCCGGCATTCCAAAAGAAAACAATGCGGTATTAAATGAAAAGAAATGTGTCTACAAAGCCTCTAAACTGACCTTTTTGGGACACATAGTATCGAGCCAAGGCATTGAGGCCGATCCAGAGAAGATTAACACAATTAAATCTTTTCGTCCTCCAAAGAACAAGGAAGAGACCCGGAGTTTTCTAGGGCTAGTAACATATGTGGGAAAGTTTATCCCAGATTTAGCAAATAAAACTGACTCGCTGCGACGACTGCTCAGAAAGGATGAAAAGTTCATCTGGGGCGTTGAGGAACAGGATGCGTTTGACAGACTCAAATCATGCCTAACGGATATTCCAAAATTGCAGTACTTCGATCCAAAGCACAAAACACAGCTAATTGCTGATGCAAGCCCGGTTGCATTAGGAGCTGTTTTGCTACAATTTCATGGAGACAGGGTGCCCAAAATAATATCTTTTTGCTAGTCGAAGTCTGACAGATGTCGAAAAGCGCTATTCACAGACCGAAAAGGAAAGTCTATCATTAGTGTGGGCAGTAAAAAATTTTTCTACTATCTAGCGGGTTTAGAGTTTGAACTGATAACCGATCATAAGCCACTGGAGACCATTTTCAAACCATCCTCGAAGCCACCGGCAAGGATCGAAAGATGGCTCCTCCGCCTCCAAGCTTTCAAATTCGTAGTCAAGTATAAAGGAGAGCTGGAAAGGAGAACATTGCGGATACCTTTTCGCGACTATGTAAAATAAACCCAGGGTATTGCTACGACATGAAAGGCGAACATAGCATTCTACATGTAGTTGAAAACGAGACTCCGTCGTCTATGACTATAACTAAAATTGCAGAGAAAAGTACTCTCGACGAAGAGATAGTAGATGCAATGTCGTGCCTTGAAATTGTATCCCAATTTGGAAAAATCCGCCTAATTAATTGGGAAAAAAAGGAAGACTCTGTAGAGTTTTGGTCAGAAGTTTTGACGTACAAGGATGCTGGCCAAAACAAAGCTTTCGTGCAACTGGCGTTATTTTGTTTGCATATTCTTTCACTGCCATGGTAGAATGCTGCGGTTGAGAGGGTATTCAGCTAAATGAACATAGTGAAAACAAAGTTGCGCAATAGTAAGAATAGGGTTTGTTTTTGAAATTTTAAATTATTTAAAATATACTAAGTATTTTTTTATTAAGTTATAGATATGGACTGCGACGTCATGGCAAATGTTGCCATGACTACCAACTTCCAACGAAATACCTCGCCTTAGTTCAATCATCCGCCAAATATATGGAATCTAATGATGACGTTGATGAAATTATTTCATTTCTATAATAGTTATATAAACATCATATCAATATCCTATCAATAAATGTAAAAAATCAACTATTTAAATTTTTTCAATTGTTAGCTTATTTTTAGCATTTTTTTTAATTTTTAGCTTTTTCTAGCTTATTTTTTTCTTCAATCTAGCTTATTTTAT